CCGGTGAAGCGGTAAGTTATGCATATATTGAAGACTATAGATACCTTTAAAGGTCGAACAATTTATAATTTATAAATAATATTTGGTCCTATGATCTCTTTCACTATATTAGCGTCTGCAAAAGCGTTCCGATATGGTCAAAAAAGGAACTGTCGAGGATGCGAACACTTCAAACGACAACGCGACAGCCGACGACGATCTGTTCGAAGTATCTTCGTCCGTTGAAGTGTCTAATGAGAACCAAAAAGATGAACACACGACTGACAATGAGTGATTGAAGCTGCGATGAGGCAGTGCAAACTTGTTGGAGAATTAACAAAAAAAAATAACGAATATATGTAAAAATCATATTATAGTCTAGCATAATAAAGTATTTATTTATTTTATATTTATAATTTTGAATGTTGGTAACCGACTAAAGGAAAATCTAGAAGTCTCAACCGGTTCAACTTTACGAAAGCTAATATTCAACTCGATTGATCAATTCTCACATGTTATTTAAATAGAGAACCTCAATTTTGTTGCTAATCTGGAAAAACACAGTATAAAAACCAACCACACATTTAATACTTATTTGCAAACATGCACGATTTAATAGAATACAACCGTAGCATAATTACAATATGTACATGGCCACATTCAGTGGGTATCAGCATTCCATATATAACATACAGTCTGCAGCACGCGCTGTTCCTGTATAATACCTAAATGCCGCAGCATCACAATACGGTTTTGTTGTTTTTTATCTAGCATCTTATTAATTTGTTGTGAAATATCCCCCGGCGTTATGAAATTGCGGCCTGAAATAGTTTAAAAATTTAATATCAGTGATTTAAGGCAAGCACTATTATCAATTACCTGGAACATAAGAGGACTGTTGATTGTAGACTCTCCATAATTCTAAATCATGCCGATTACGCACCGTACTTCGTTGGCGATGTATTAGTTGATATTTTTTATTAAAACACGGAACTATGACGGAGTCCAGAAAGTTCCGAAGTTCGTCAACAGATTCACGGCCGCGCATATATCTGGAAATTTGATGTGTAGATATAAAAATTAAGATTAATAATTTAATATTTACATAAAATAATAACTTGCAACCCGATATTTACTTTATTGGGGAAGACAAGTCAACTCTATAAATAGCAAATCAGAAAGCTTCTAAGTGTTTATAGATAACGAAGAAAATCTGAGTTTTTTCCAAATACAAAAAAAACGACGTTACTCTGGTTGCATCTAAGCTATAATACTCTTCACAATTACAAAAATTACACATATAAACGGTACTAGATTTTTGAAAATTAAGAGTATTGTAAACTTTGAATTCACATACTTTGGTATTGCCTCAAACTGTTCCGATGTTATCCGGTATTCGAAGTCCAGAAACGTGAAAGGTATTGGATTAATATTTCTTTGTTTTATCAATGGTGATTCCTTGTAACTGCTTAGAGTAAGTTTGGGTGTTATAGCATGCTGCAAAAGACAAGTAATTGAATCAATTCCTTACACACAAGTTCAATAATCTTACAGTGTGCAAATTTAGATTATCTAATCCCTTTTCCAATGCGGTTATAGGCTTTTTTTCTGCAGTTCGCGGTGCATTTGAAGCATTGAAAGCGGCTAGTACTTCATGTTCTCTCCTTTGTGCCTCTTCAAATTTCCTTCGACGCTCCGCCAGCACATATTCTAAAATAGCACCTTGCTGCCTTTGCATTCGAATTATTAAACGACCATGTTGTTCATCCACTTTATTAATATCTTCTTTAATCGCTTTTCTCACTTGATCCATAAGTTTCTGAAGCTCCTTAGTTTCTTTTATCAATTTCGACGAAACATTATGTACTTTTTCACGACGTAAACTTAGCGCTATGAAGTTTTCAATTAATAATACTTTTTCATTGATAGCCGATTTAAATTCTTCCATAATCGTACCAATTAAAATAAATTAGTAGTGAGAATATATTTAATAAAGCGGTGAGCTGGTCAGAAATTCAATTTATCTTTCAAAAATAATAATTTAAACATATAGGGTGTATAGGATGATCAAAATATTTATAATGCTGCCACTTGACGGATATAAAACTAAATCTCAATATTACAATTATCTTAAAAAATGTATTTTATAATAAGAATACAATATTGTAAGAATTTAACGTTCACTTTCATCCTTACCGATTAAATTAACTACTACTTTCATTTAAAAACAATAAACGTTTTTACGATTCTCTGGTTAATTTTTACGATTTCTTCTTAGCTCCTTATGTTCACAATAGTGATAACTGCGTTGTGAACTAATTGTAGGTCAATTTCAACAGAGAACGTATAATAATATAAATGTACGTTCTCTGATTCCAATTTGAAAATGCCATCAGTTTTCATATGTGTCATAGCGAAAAGTAATATCCTCCAATGTATTAAACGAAATATTGTCATTATTTCCACAAACTATTGTTTTAAGCTGCAATTTTAATGTGTAGATCACCTGTTTAATATCATGGATCGCACAATAATTGCTGTGCAGCGTGCAGAAGAACGAGAACTCAGTGAAAAGTTGTATAAAAAACTGCGCGGGCTGGGCCTATTGCATCCGCAAACAGATGAACTGCGAAAATGTCTTAACGAAGAAATGTTCATTAAACCAAATGCTCAGGCATTTTTTCATGTAATGCATTATTTGTTTTGTTTATTGGATCCTACTGAGTTCAAAAAGCGCTTCTATTGGCCTATCACAGATAAACGTTCAGAGGCGAATTTCCGCACAAGCACTGTTGAATATTTGAAACACCTAAATGAGAAATACAAACTACAATGGGGGGATATTAAATCATACTTAGTTGTAATGCCTGGAGGTAAGAAATTCATCATATTTGTTTTGGATTTGGTAGCATTCGTTGTGCAAGAGCAGATACGCTTTCGAGAAAAACTACTAGGCGCTGATGTGGAAGCTGGACATGTAGCTGATCTAAATCTAAAGCGTATGCGAAAACAAAATTCATTTTTCAAGGATTATGCCTCAGCCTATATAAGCAATGTAGATGAACAAATAGTGCAATTACGCGGAAAAACTCAACAACTGGAGAAAATTTTTAATACGCTTGCACAAGAAACGGGTAGCAGTAAAAGTGAACTATGCAACGGTCAATTTATTGAACTATTTGAAAAATCAAACCGAGATGTGTTTCAAGAGAAATTTGTTAAGGGAACTGCCATGGTTCGTAAATTGGAAGAACCACTTGCCGAACTAAAAGAACGAATAGATAAATTTCAATTGAAAGAGGCAGAAATGAAATATGATAAAGGTCGAGTGCGGCATGCTCTTCAAAAGATTACTGACGCATTGCCGGCCGAAAATACGGAACAGCCAGGTACGTTTTTCAGTTTGTTGAGTGTTTTCTATTAAAAATTTCATATATTTCAATAATTAATATTTTCAGAAGCATTTTTACATCCCAGTGTGAATGCCTTAGATGATATCAAGTTAAACGAGCTCATAATTGCGTTTAACTTAATCCATCCCATATTAGAAAATGCTTTCAGTGAGGTGGAACAAACTAGAACTTCTGGGGAATTTGTCCAAGCAGAGTTAACCGCACTCAAAACTGAATTTCAACAAATAGAAATGCAAGTCACAGATTTTCAATTATCGCTGAACACACAAATGAAAAAACGTTCAAATCATCGCAAGCAAACACCAGGACATATTAGCGATGATTGCAACTCGCTAATGATGAAGTATGTTTGCACGCCACCAATCAAACTGGAAGCGCTTAACACAGGCCGTTTAGATAGTATGCGCTTACCACTTTTTGCAGATATACAAGCTAAAATTGCCACCGATTCATTAAGTGGTAATGTTTCAGGTATTTGCAGATTTTAAATCAAATAAATTTTTTTATAATAAATACATCACAAATTCGCAGTATTGCCCCGCTCTGTAAGAAAACAAACTATTAAAGACACTTCGATCGATTTGAATAACACAATGAACAAGTCGCGCATTATTGATTCTACACAGCTTCTGCGCACTATTCATAAGGGCAGCTTGCGTGCAAAACATCAAAAAACCCAAAATAATACGTCTACCTCCAAAGCTTTACTGAGTACTAGTTGGCGAGAACGTCAAAATATATTTCATAAGGATTTGCAGTCTGAACCAGTTATTTTAACAGAAAAAACATTCCAATCTAATAACTTAAATATAAGCGTCGAGCGCTCAGCAGACCTTGTGAATAGTATTCAACATCTTAGTGGACAACATGCTAATGCTTCGCCCTACACCCCTTTTAATTCTAATGAGCGGACACGTATCGCACGCACGCAAATACTCGAAGCTATAAGCAGTAGTAGTGGGAGTGGTGGAGGGACAAAAGCAAAAGTATTATACACTAGACGACTTTCAGCAGTGCAGAAAGTCCAAGGAGATTCAATGAATATCACCAATATGAGCACAAGTCCTTCTGGGCGACTAGATGCACTCGTGCCGACGCCAGCTGAATTCACTGACACGCCAAGACTCAAATTGAACGACATCACAATGCAGGAAAATACAACTTTCGTTGACGTAAGCCACACATATTTAATTTATTTAAAAAAAAAATATATTTAACATTTGAAATTTTTAAATGAAATAGATAAGCAACTACATATGTCATATTCTAACATCCCCTTTAAACGTATATACTTATAGAACACTGAGGAGCGTGTGGCCGCTGTGCAAGTGTTAGAGTTGTCTTCCAGATGCGTGCTCGTGACAGAGAATACAAGAAACGTAAAATTAAATGGAGAAAACGATCAAAATATGATTAATACCCCGAAATGTGCTCAAACCAAGGTTCGGCAAATGCCGACACATATAATTGCCGATGATGATAATTTATTCGATATAAGCGATACCGTACTAAATGATGTTACAATGTAGTCAAATACTCATAAACTATTTTTTACACGTAGACACATTCATACATATACATATACAAAACATGCATGGACACATTTCATTTAAATCTTTTACGGTTTGCATTTTTTATATTTCGCTTTCCACATAACTGTTTGGCAATAAACTAAGATTTGTTTTTAATATAATAGAAATTCGACTTAATTTGATTTATGTAATGCATCATCGAAACTTCACTGTATATACATATGTATATAGCCATTTTACTCTGTGATAAATGCCGCCTTTTGTTTGGGTTTAAATTTGATATTCCCCAATTCTCGGATGATCGGTTTTATATGTGGACTTAAATATGGTCTGCGATTTAGTTCCATGGTGGCTTTAGATTTTTTATAATTCAGTATATTCATAACATTTTCTCGCTCAGCGTAGTACATGTCATCATAGGGATTCACTTTGTTTTCCGAAATCGTTGCGATGGTTTTGTCATCACTTATCGTTTCTAAAGTGCTCTTTTCATTGACATCACTCTCCGACGTGTTCTTTGCTTCGTTGGTCGTTACTGTCTTTGTAGCATCATCGATCACCATTCTTTGCATAACATTGCGCAATTCCTCACGTATGACTTCTGTATTGATTTTGAATTTCTTCGCCTGCAAGTGACGTAATTTCGGCACCGTTTGCAATACCGTAGAAATACGTTCTTCCAAATTGGTAATACGTTGTTCGAGTATTTGGAAATTTTCGACGATCAACTTATTCTTGTCCGTCTCATTTAGCATTTCGACAGTGACTTCAATTTCTTGATTTTCTTCCGGCAAAGATTCTGCACTAACCGTTTGGCTTTTGCTCTCGATTTGCACTTTCTCACGCAGGCAACGTTCTATAAGTGCGTCGATCTCTTCTTTGCGTATAAACTGATCGGTAACGCATAGTTCTTGCAAAATATTTTGTACTTCTTCGCGCACCAAACAAGTTATCGAGAATGTGTTGTAGAAGTTTTTTTCCGAGACGCTAGTGCTTGATCGGGAGCCGTTAAAATCCATCATAGCATTAACCACTTGTGGGGTCAGCGGAATCAAACGTTGCGAACTATTCTGTGCCGTGTGTTGATCGATAGCGTTGCTGCTTAAATATTCCCCTTCACCTGACTCGATATGCTGATCCTCTAGCTTGTGCTGTGTAGAATGGAAACCGCTTTCCATAAACTAAAAAAATTACGTGATGCTCGTTTTGTGGTTTATCGTTTGCTCCGCTAAAGGTTTGCTTTCGTGTTTTGAATATTTTTTTGAATGTTTTTCAACTTTTGGGACACTTAAAATTTTGCTTATGGAATATAAGAATAACTTCAAATTTATAAAAACACTTTCAAGAGTTAAAATTTATTTCATTTCCTAATGTAAAAAGCAAAGCTACTTGTATGCTCAGCGGGATCTTGACGGCAAAACGCCGGGGCCTATATATTGTACTTGGCAAGTTGGGAACATACAAACATATTTACTTTTCACCTCTTTGGCGGAAATGACATGTTAAAAAAAAAGAACGTTAACTTCGGTGGAACCGAAGCTTTAATACCGTTCACAAATACGAAATATTCTAAACAAGAACTTGATTTCGATAGGTCAGACTGTATGGCAGCTATATGCTACAGTAGTGCGAACTGATTCATATGGACAATAATTCATGCCAAATTTCATGAAAATAACTCGTCAAATAAAAAAGATTTCTAAACAAGGACAACAGTTTTCAATCTAAGATCTTGATCGTTCAGCTAGTATGGCAGCTATACGCTATGTTTTCCGATATCAATGGTTCTTGCTTGTTGGGGAGAAAACAAAAAGTTTAAAATCGATATCTCAAAAACTTAGGGACTAATTCGCGTATTTACGAACAGACAGACTTACATTACTTAAACTTGATATGCTGATAATTTATATATATATTTTATGCCTTCTTTAGTTCTCGCAAACATAATATATACCCTCTTTAAGGTATAAAGTAAAACAAACGGCTAAACTACTGTACCAACAATTGATCTTTATTATGAATCAACTCTTCAAATAATTAATGAAGTTATGTTATTTAAATAGTTCAACCCTTATTTGTATAAAAAAAAAAATAGTCAACAAAAGAAACCGAGACAATTTCCACAAACGGAAGCTGTTGCTGTCTCTTCAGTGCTTAGTTTAGTAATCAACCAGCTTCTTTAGTTTCGGCGGCGCCGATATGACAATACGGTTCCTATTACTACTATTAGTATTGTTACCACTGCTGGTGACAGCTTCTTGCCTGCTACTCGGCACATCGCGCTGATGTCGATCTTTGTCCCTATCCTTTTCCCTTTCCCGATCTCTGTCTCCTCTATCACGATCGCGTTCCCGATCTCTACAACGATCCCTTTCCCTATCTCTATCACGATCACGATAGCTTTCACGTGAGCGCGGCTCATTTCTTGAACGTGAATGTCTGCCCCGCTCCCTATCCTTATCCCGCTCACGTTCACGATCGCGTTCATCATAACGTTGTGTACGATGATGACGCGACGCACGTTCACGACTGGTATCACGTTGCCAGCGTGAACGTGAAGCACTGCGGCGTCGGCGCCTCGAAGCGCTACGACCATTACGCGAACGTGAACGTGAGCGTCGTTCAGTTGCAGCCGCCCGTTGCAGCTGATAATAGGACTGACTGCGACTGCGCGACCGATGCAATCGCTCTTCTCGACTTTTACTACGTTGTATAGTTCTAGCCTGAACATGTAACGTTGACGAATGGTATTGGTCATGCGGTTGTGCATCTTTCCCACGATCTGCAGCGTGCGGATGACTTTGTGTCGATAGTTTTTCCGTTACAGGAACTATTGTAGGCCCGCTGCTTACCGATTTGCTGCGTCGTTGTGATGGCTGATGTGAGGATTTTGCAGCACCCGAAGCATCACTATCTGAGTCCTTACCGCTTGATGGCGTACCATAGCGATGGCGAAGCTCACGTTGTCTGTAAAGAATTGTGAACAAAAAAAAAAAAAAAAAAATAGATTGTGTATAGATAGATGTGCCAGGAATGTGGAAAAACACGTTTAGAATGGACGTTTGCATAAAATAATTTACCTCCGTCTTAGTTTCAGTGCCATTTCTCGCATCTCATCCTCACGTTCTTGTTGCAATTGTCGTTCACGTTGCCATTTCTCGATTTCAGCTCGTTTATCCGCTTTGTCTATATTCACACACACACACACACATAAACAGGCGCACAGATAGCAATGAGTGGTGAGAAAGAAAAGTTGAATAGCATTTAATGATATCTTCGCTAGATCAGTATTACGAACAAAAAAAATCAATTGTTTGTACAAGTTTAGTACTTACATTGCTTGTTGAGCAAATTTTGCATTTTGCGTTTCAGTCGTTCGCGCAAATTCAAACGACTGCTGCTGCCCTGTGGCGCTGATGAAGATGTTGACGGTGTCTGTAAGGAATCACTTCAAATGGTTAACAAAAGCACAACCAGTTTTCAAATTATTAAAACTACATATAAATTATAAATTCTAGATGAGGTCAATGTCCTTTCTTCAACAAAGACTTTTCACAAGCTAAGAATGTCAAAAAGAAGTTTATGTATATAATTACAAGCAAACGGTAAAGTGGTGCATTAAGAAAAAAATATATATTTAATAGTTTGAAATTTACTTTATAACACCACTTGATACCACAGTGATTGCTATCGTCTATAAATAAAATGTCATCAAAGTCAATTAAAGGTCAACAATTCAATAGCATATCACTGTCCATTTTTATAAAATTTGGTAAGTTAACACCCTATCCCCTTGTCCATGAGTCTTTATAATTTTGTTATTATTCCGGCATTTCTCGATTTTGTGTTGCAGAAATTCAAATATTTTTTGGTGGTTCTTACTGACTTTGGTTTCGGTAGCATTAGAAAAACTTGGATTGATTTTCGCCGGAGCAGTAGTGCAATATTTGCCTATTTGTTTACCAGTGGTTGACGTTGATGATGATGGCAAAGGGTTGGAACGTTCAGAGCTAAAATAACAAACAAAATAGAAAGAAACATGTGAAAGTGAATTGCAATCAAAATATTTATATTATTATAATGACAGCTCAACCAAATATGAATTTAATGTTTTTTAATTGCATTTTGCTATTAAAGGAACTTACAAAATGCATAGAGAAATATGTGACAAAAAAAAATCGGCAAATTTTCTTTCAACTTATACATAAAACGTTCCGCATACAGACGCGTAATTATATATATATGAAAAAAACATGAATAAAATGTGGTCAACTTTACCATAGATGCATTCCTTGTGCGCATAACTTACGTAGTATCCACATCCATGCGTTCGTCACTGTCATTTCCATCGCCGCTGATTGTTGCATGAAGTTTTACATTGTCTTTATCAACTGCGTTCGTGTCTGAGGCGGAGTCGCTGTCCGAGTCCGATGAGTCATCTCCACGTTTGCGTCCATAATAACGCTTAAGCGGTGGTGGTGGCGGTTCCACCACTTGCGGCAATAAATTTATTGCCACTGCACTGTCGGAAGCTGTTGTTGATTGAGTGCTTGACCCCTTAACGACCTCGACTGGTGGTGGTGGTGGCGGCGGTTCTTTAGCTGCCGCGGCTACTGCGGTGGACATGACACTTATACGCGTTGATAACGGATAACTAACCATAGGCATAGCCGCCGTGGCAAAGGGAGCGCTTGATGCCGCCACTTCCGATGTACTAATTACGGGTTGGATAACCAATTTTCCTTTAGACAAATTTTGTGATGAGCTAGCACTGCTGGCATTGGGAGGCAACGTTTTCGTGTGAGATCTGGAACGCGTTCGTGTACGCGGACGACGACGGTCCATTATTGGTGACTTTCTATATTTTGAGTTTTGTTTGCGTTTGCGCTCTGAATGCCGGCTGCCGCTTGAAGCGGAGCGACTACTGCGTCGCCTGGAGCGATGTGAACAGCTGCTAGTTGATCTATAACGTCGTTTATGTATTCCAACGTGACCACTACGTGATTGTGAACGTGATCTGGAACACGAATCGGATCTAGTACTTGAGTGTCTGGAGCGTCGTTTGCGTCTTGAACGTTCATAGGAAATGGACCGTGACCTTCTATGTCGATGACGTCTGTTACGACTTTGACTTCGCAAGCGCGAACGGGATCGTGAACGCGAGTACGGTCGTCGTCGGCGTTCCCTGCTACGTCTTTTACTTCGACGACGACTTCGACTGCGTGAACGCTTCCTCGATCGGCTACGCGAACGGCTTGTTTTACTGGTTTTACCCATAGCTGATGAACGTTTTGTACTTTCATTTAACTGTTTGAGCTTTTCCAAATTCTCCTTCACCTTTTGTGCATAGGTAATTTGCGGTGTTAACGCACCTGTAGCTGCTGACACACCAGCGCAGGATTCCCCAAGAGTTTGAGGAGTACGTCCAATACTAATTGAAATTTTCGAATGTGGCTGTAACTCATCTTCTCCTCCGAAAGATGTTATGTATGTAATTTTCCCAGCATTGGGATCAGGTGATGGTGAACGTGATTCACTCTCCTCGTCTTTATCTTTTTTCGCACCAATGTCTTCTTTCGCCGCATAGCTTGGTGGACTAAATGGACGACATGCAATACGACGTTCTTTTTGTGCTCTGCGCTCCCTACGAGACTTCCGTCCACTTAATAGCATCTTTTCTTGTTCTTCTTCACGTGCAATACGCAGGGCTTCGGCCTCATCTGCATCTTTTGTTAGATAGGAATAAAAGTCATTGCTAACCATGCCATAATTACGACCACAAGCATTTAACTCATGTGCTTGTGAAGTGTCTAGTTTTGAGATGTCAATAGAAACATCCATATCCATATCTGAGTCGGACTCTGAATCAGACCCTTTTTCAGATTTCCCACTTGATTTTTCTTGAGTTGAAGAATGAAAAGGATGGCTACCAGATGTTGTTGATGCGACACCCTCTTCATAAATATAACCGATGCTCACACCACTCTTCGATGGTTTCTTTTTATTGGAACTTCGTTCCATAGCTTCCAATTGAGCATTTGCACCAAATTGCTCTTCTAAGTACAGTTGATGTAGGAATTTATCTTCCGTTACGTTTAGAAAATCATTCTGGGCCAAAATACGATATCTTTCATAATTGCATTGACGTTCCTCTACGGAGGTTTCAGAATTCTCAGGTTCATTTACTTTTGGTATCGCCGGAATGTAATCTAAATGTGCACGCACGTCGAAGCGATCGATTAGATTATCCTGTTGGCCTTGCCAAGGCACACTATAAAATACAAATGCCGAGTATATAATTATAATCTTATTTTTCTATTTTAATAAATCATAAATATTTAATATAAAAATGTAAGACAAATAAAAAACGGATATTTCCGAAATATGACTTGCATGATGGCGGCTCCATCTCCCGCGGCAGCTGTTGCTGGGTCGAGATGAATTTTACACCGACGCCCATGTACTTGAATGAACTGAGTAGGGTCCGCTTGCTGCGTATATAATAATTTGAAATAAATGATATTAATTTGACTGTATTATAAATTATCACAGTTTCTCATACACTTTCGTCACTCACAATTTTTTCGTAAAAATCCTGTCGACGCTCCGCACGTTTGCGATAGTCTACAATCATACCGCGTATGCGGCGTTCTTGCTTGCGAGCCTCGTGCCACATTATCCACAAGTATATTCTTTTGGCACTGCGCGATATATGTGTTTTGCGAACTTAGCATTCGTAAAACATTCTAGACACTATGTCACTATAATTCCGCCATCCAGGAGAATCTCTTAAAGATTAAAGTCCTTTTTCGTTGGATATTATATTTTACCTCAGATGTACGATATGAAGAACAAAATGGTTTGACGTTCGTTTGACATTCTGAAATTACCGCCAGCCGGCGCAGACGGTGCTGCCGTGCAAAGTTAAGAACTCGGGAAAAAACAAAATTGGGAATAATTATTATATACCCTAAACAATTAAACGTTCTATATTTCTTTACATAAATAAATATATTTACTTATAATTTCATTAACATTTTTTGCTATATTTCAAAAGGTTATAGAATTAAAGATTTGAATTAAAACAAATACCATAATTTCTACATTGTTCAATGTGAAGCTTTTATCGTAAAGTTATAAAAACGTTCTAACAAATTGGTTTAGTAGCGACTACTCTGAAAGGATATTAGTGCTTGTTCTTCTAGTTAGTTTGTTTACATTTGTGTCAACGTCCTTTTCATTCACGTTTTGCTCATCATTTTTTAGGGTTTGTTTGTGACATCGATTTTAATAAATTTACTTCCGTAGATTTGTAATTACTTTTGATATCCTTTGAATTTTACTTTTTTTGAAGCAATGCCTAAAAAACGTTTTTATAATTTTCCCGAAATGGTATCCAACGATCTTCACGAGGAAAATATACCAATATCAGTGTCTAACAATAATAATAATGACGAAACTAACGAAGACAACGAAGACGATTCCGAGTTCCTACAAGATGTTCCTTATTCATCCAGCAGCCTTGATCGCAGTTCAATAGGATCAATACCATGGGCTGACGATGCCATAAAACAAAATCAATTAGATTGGGAACAAGTTGAGCGTATGCTATCTGGTGAGGAGACACTGCCAGTCGAACCAGATTTGCGTAACGAGATTATAGAATGGCAGACGAAATTTCCACAGTTATTAGAACAAAAAAAAGCACATGAAATCGTAGAAAAAATCATTGATAATTCACAAGCAAATAACAGTTTAACAAAAAATATTGATGATGACATAATTTCACATTTGAGTTTGAACAGTTCTGATGATGAAGACAGGTATGATGAGCTGGCTACGCCCACTACTACTGGAGCACGACGGATCGAAACATTAGAAGGTCCGTTTTTAGGAAGGAAAAGGGCCATAAGTAAATCATACGCAGACAGGCTCTCAGCCAAAATGGCTTTATTGCGTATAACAGCAATACGTCCAAAACATAGAAATGATTCAATTAAAGTAATACCACAACAGACTTCAACAGATCGTGAGCACAGTGGTACATCTAGTTCATTGCGATTACGTAAAATATCAACGAGTAAGCCTCAATCTATTTTGCAACCGCCTGGACTGCTTCACGAAAACACGCCTTTTGACACGCAACACCATTTTCGTATGCCTCCAATTCTAAATGTATTGGAAAGTAAACGCCGTTTTCGAGATTTGGCCTCGAATAAAAGCTTTGTGCAATTGACTCAAGTGAAAGCACCTTACGCTAAATCCGCAGCTATAATAAGACAGCCGGAAAATAATTTATCAATTGGACATACACCAAGGGCTACAATTTTTACGGGTCATCATCAAACTGTGTGGCAAAAACCGCTAATTGCTAACCGTGTGAGCAATAATTTTTTCAACAATCGAAATGCCATTATATTGCCTTCCCTCCATGCAAAAGGCATCAGCGCTCAACATCAGCGTCGAAATAGTACAACATCCAGTACAGGCGCGGGTACAAGAACACAAAGTTTATCGAACTCCAATGTAGGTTCTTCAGCTAACAGTAGCGGTGATTTTAATCTACTACCACGAAATGCGGTGGATCGTTTTGTGTCACGCTGGCAGCAAATCAATGCCAATGTATCAACTTCTACAGGAACTGTTTCAACCGGTCGCTCAATCTCAGCAGCAGTTCATCATCATGCGCGTGCAGACGTCGGTTTGCGAGAGTTGTATGTGCCATATAATGCCTTCAAACATGATGGCTTTAAATAGCGATCACAGGCGTGGCGGTTTGTATAATGCGCCACGATTTTTACAACACATGAAGAACAGTGTTTCGAATACAAGAAAATATTAAATCAAAACCAAATAATGGAAATTATTCTTTTAATGCACTTTCCATTTCTTTAGGATTGAATGATTAAAACTATTTCAAACAACTGCCAATATTTCTAGTTTTCGAAACATTGTACAACAAAAACTATACTTACATAATTTGTACAAAAAAAGAATTGCAAAATTGCAGTGCAATTATATAAGAAGTGCCTTTTAAGCGTTAAAGTTGTATTAACGTTTTAAAAAGAACTGTGTGAAAATAAATTTTGAAAACAGTCAACAGATAGTCGATAAAACTATAAAATATTTTTTATTTAGCTTATTTTTTTTCATATTAAATTCCGAATCAAAATATATATATATATTTTTTTTTTATCCGAATCTTGTTGAATTTTGGTTGTCTCATATGTCTAATGGGCTGTATGTGGAATCGCCAATGATCTTGTGTACGCTTTCTTCAGGTAGAATAAACTTCTTAAGTTAGCCTTTACCTATTTAGCATCATTAACTGCATCACAGTGAACATCAAAAAGGATTTTTCACTTTAATTTACTGCTATTCAAAGATTAGTTACAATTACAATTGGTTTTGTAAAATTCACAAACTCAAATAAAAATTTCTTACAAATTAAAATTATCCAGACGCAGCTTTCCATCATTCTCTGTCAAGTACATTATATCTGATAGGCACTGTTCACTTATTAACTCCTCGACTCGTTCGCACATCTACATACATATAAGAAATATATAGTAATTACGTAAAGCATATTAAATGACTGCTTACTCCTTTAGCTTTAGATTCGTTCAATACTTCGGGATGCTTGAAGTTCGGTCCGAAATTCACAGCTACCGTGGCGTTCTTGTGGATGGATATGGTAGGGTAATAAGAACCACCGTATATATCTGTGAAAGCCACACCTTGTGATTTACCGTTTTTAAAATACTCGATTGTACTGCCTGGCAGTACTTTAAGGCCCTTCAGTGTTTCTTGCACCTTATCCTTATCTTCATAATATAAATGTGACTTAAACTTTACAAGAGGCTGAAAACAAAAATAATATCATAAATATATTTTACATTTTTATTGTATATATTAACAACATACTCTGTCCTTAAAGGTATTGGGTAAGTAGTTGGTGTCCGTTTCATCGGGCAAATCGATTAAGAAACCCAAAACATCACCTTCCGCATAAGCGTCACTATAGTGTTTACCATGGCTTTCATGGAATCTGGTACCTTTTCGTGACCGCCAGGAATAACCGAATTTGTCATAGCCGAGAGGGGCTTGCAGATTGCCGTACTCCTGACCCCAGCCCATTCGCGTTGCAGCGCCCTCTGGCATTTCTTCAACAACAGCCTCAAAATACCAGCGCCCACGATTCACCGCTAAATGTTTTTCAAAATAGTATGTTATTGGGTTACGAGCAAAATACAGTTATTATGAATAAGCCAAAATGTGATTGAGAGCGTAAAATCAAAATTGAATGAAATAATATTAATCTTGCTAACTTACAATGTGTGGCGCGTACCATACAGTATCCCTTCTCCCCAGTAACAGCTAAACGATCTTCGGAAACTTTCAGTTGCGGTGCTCGATCATGCAAAGCCAATAGAACACAGTTTGGCACTAGAGTTCTATATAACCAGCCTGGTATTGGTTTACCAGCCCAATCAGAGCTTTCGTCGAACTCTTGCCGGAATGGAGCATGTGGATCAGGTTCTGCTAAAATGTAACGGTAGCCATCCTTGTTGAAAGGATGTTCCAAAGGGTAACCATGTGCTGGTAACTTCACATTCGCCGTTATATCAGAACTAGGACGACCCTTTTTTCCTGTAGGCCCAGAATCGTTACCGGGAAGCTTTCGTTTGTTTTGACGATTATTCTTCGTCAAAGAGGAAGCTGGGAATAGGTGAGAGATGCATACAATAAATAATAATTAAAAATATTTTGACCTGAAATGTCTATAAATTCTAAATTTTGAGGTTCGCCAGTGGAATAAGGTCATGTAGAAGCGCAATATCAGCAATGGAATGTGTGCAAATCTCGATTTTTTATTGGAATGTGACCATTCTTCAGAGTGGACGATATTTTTATGTCCTTATTTACATATATATATGTATATATAATTAATAACTCAAATATTATACGAAAGCTATGACTCATTGTTCTACGAGTTGCAAACAATAAATGAAGTGAAACTAAAAAACCTAATAACACAAATCCTTGAAAAATTATTTTCACAAATGCCACATTCAACTTCATAATCGCCCAATCAATTTACCAATCAATCAATGCTTTTACGTACTTTCTTCCTCGCGATGCGACACCGTGTTGTTGTCCATATACTCGGAAAGTTGCAACTACGTGCGCAGCAACGACAGCAGCGATAAAAACGAAGCGTCCAACCGAATCGATATATGTACATATGTAAAACAAAACAGCACTAACTACTGTGAAAAAATTTACATACATACATACACATGCACACATATACAAACATGCCTCATAGCAGAACAATTGTTACAGTGGATATCCGCAGATTCGCGAACAATGCAGCAGACTTCTGGCACGTAACAAACGTTTCGCTGCCGCCTTCCCACCCATTTTGATTTTCCTACGAAAGTCGACGGTGAGCCTCGCCCCAATGTCACAAAATGCATTTGGAAACAAACTACCGTCACAGTAATCAATCACAATCGCAAGAGTACGAAAATAGAAAACTATTTCAAACGTTAATTGATTTAGACTTTCATCAGTAAATAAGCTAAAAGTTGAAAGTAAGAGTTGACCCGGTTGTCGGTTTGAATTAAATACGAAAAGTTGAACAAATCGACGCTCATGGAGACGACGTGATGTTGATAAACATTGAAATATTGACTAAAGTAAATTAAATTTTAATATGCAGAAATTAAAATCTCAATTAAACAGCAATAAAACAATACAACAATTTAATCAGTAATGGCATGCAAAATGAGCTCATTTGAACACAAAAGAGAAATTTACTTAAGAGTGAGCGAGAGCAAAGCACGCGAATTATGGCAAAAAGCGACTGGTGGATAAGTTTCCGCAAATTACATTTCGTCTCTTTTTTCTGTTTACAAATGCTTAAAATTATTTTAGAAATTACTCGCACTGATCCAATCCATTCACGCACTTCTAATTACCTGTCCCGTGACCATCTTCGGATGTTCGTAGCAATCCGCCCTTACCCATGGTATCGTAGTTCGGCTTAATTAGTGATAGATCCTGCGTGACCAAACCAAACATGGCGCCAGTCTCCGCATTCTCCTCGTAAGTAAATAAAATATTAACTTCTTTAACCAGTGAACGTTGCACCGTGGAGTACCTAACAACAGAAAAAATCTTATTTTTATTGTTTCTTACATGTTGTCATTTATATACTTACCAAGATTGAGTGACACGCCGTGGCATCGTAGTCATGGCCTCCCAATATTGTTCTATATATGGTATGATTTCCTTGTCTTTGCTAAATAGAAACTTGCTTTTGCCGTCCTTTAGCGCATTTTGTTGCATATTAGCTATGGCAGTGACACACATTTGTGGTATTGCTGCAACGATTTAATATTGTATAAAGTGATATTTCTAAAATTTGACTACACTTACTGGCTTGGCTTTTGCGAAATATTTCCAGTCCACTCTGTGAGCAATTTTTACATACGAACATATAGTTGGAGATAAAAGGCACCAATTTGCCCAACTGGTACCCGATGCAAGACTCATGAAACCAACGACTGCAATTGGCGCATAATAGTTCCACTATGTTAAGATTACGTTCTTTGCCACTGTCAAATTTGACAAAAAAAAATAATAATAATAAGTGTGTTTATTGTTTGCAAACTTTGTCCTTGTGTTTACCAGTAGCAAATGCCGGCGTTGTTGGCGCCTGAAGCAGGTTTCTCCTCTCGTGTAGTTTCAGCTGCTCGCTCACTGGATGCATATTCCGAAGCTGTTTCGGACTGTGAATTGGTATCAGTTTGTATTTCATCCATTTTTCTATCTTAATATTTTAACTGGCTTAAAGACAACTTTACACCAATCAAAAAATGCAAAAAAAAAGTTATAAAAGCGTCTGCAAATATTTGCAAAAGGTGGTATGCAATTAGAGACGAATTGTAATTGGATAAGTATGTTCAGTGAGTAGTGCACATAATGAATTTTGAGTAAGCAAGTAAAAAGTTAATATATTTAAATTTTTTTGAATGAAACATATGTAATTCTGTGCATTTATTGGCCGGATATAAGTAAATAAAAATTGAGGGAAATCTATACTTATGTTTTGTTCTTTTTTTAATTTTTCCTCTTGCATACATTTTTTAAATACAATTGCCGCTAATTGTACCACGGTGCATATTGTACCATTCTTAAAGAAGAGACAACACTGTTTCTAATATTCACAATAAAGACATTTTTCACTCCAGTGGCGATTTACTTTCTTTGTGTAGTGGATGCAAATTTTGTGGTAATTAAATTATAGCTTGCAGATTTTACATTTCTAGGAAGAAAAAATAGAGGAAAATTGTTAAAATAAAATCGTACGTTCAAAGGTTATCTATTATTTACTTTATATCTAACGTGTTGTACAATAACGATTTATAATTAACACTTTGTCACAGTGAAAATCAATATTTTCCGGAGTAGCAAAAGAGACTCTCGGTGGGTTGTGGGGAGCAATAAGTCCACGTTACTTTTTTCTTTGTGCATTCGACGGTACGGTACATACCATATGGGAGGCGTATGTGTCTACATCAGCATAGTATTTGCTGATGTTGGATGCTATGAATAAGCGCTATTGATTTTTTCGCCTCACGTCAAAGGCGTCAGCAAATAATATCAGTTTTATATAAATACTTGTGTTTAAAAATTTCCCTAATTTACATAAACTGTTTGCATTTGAGTGATACTACACATTTCTAAATATTAAATTGTACGGCTACTTATAAATAATTAATAAGAGGGAACCTTAGCAGCTGTAATGACCGCACTAACGATAAAACATAAAGTGATTCATAATCATTAAAGGATATTCACAGTACTTTTAAATGCATTATACAAAGCTAAAACTATTAGTTGGTTATTAAAAAAGAAACAGAACTAAAGAAGTCATTGACCCACAAACCAAAACGATTATTTTTGTCGAAGAAATTGGTGTTGCTAAAATTTGAATGTAGCTTTCTAATATTTCGATTTTGCAAACAATTTCGCAATCATTTAATTTTGAATTTTAAATTATACTTTTTTTAAACACTACCACTTGTGTATACAAATGTCCAGACAGTGCCATATACCTTAGTAAAAATATACTACGTGAAGTAAAAAAATATATACGTATGTATATAAGCCCCCTGATGCTGTAGAAATTAAAGATAATGTTTTATAAGATTATACAAGTCTTAATATACAAAATGTCTTCCCAAGGCTTATCACAGTAAGCGATAAGAACAACTGTGAATAACGTACACTTCATTTTTGTTTAGCACAATATCATTAGCTGCATCAAAGTTAATTTTTATTAATACTGATCTGACTAATACAACAATAAAAACATTTTTGTATTTTTTTTAGTCTTTTGAATCCCAGAGAATATCAACTTAGTTACTAACGGTTCGAAAAGTGCGCCACTGAATTAAAAAAATTACTTTTTGAATATTGTTGTTGTTTTGAACGAAGCAACAACAAGATGGGGTCGTTATTCCGTAGTGAGGAGATGACTTTGTGTCAACTCTTCTTGCAAAGTGAAGCGGCCTATGCATGCGTATCAGAATTAGGCGAGTTGGGTCTGGTACAATTCAGAGACGTAAGTAGTCATATAATTATTTTAGATGCATATGTAACTTATACATACATAATTATATATCAGCTCAATCCCGATGTGAATGTTTTTCAACGCAAATTCGTCAATGAAGTGCGACGCTGTGATGAGATGGAGAGAAAATTGCGTTATTTGGAGAAAGAAATCAAAAAGGATGGTATACCGATGTTGGATACAGGCGAAAGCCCCGAAGCACCTCAACCCAGAGAAATGATTGATTTGGAAGTAAATATGCTTTCAACTTTTCTACATTTACAATAGTTAATCTGATCTATTTTTAATGTTTCAGGCCACTTTTGAAAAATTGGAAAACGAATTGCGCGAAGTTAACCAAAATGCAGAGGCGTTGAAACGTAACTTCCTGGAATTAACAGAATTGAAACATATTTTGCGCAAAACACAAGTTTTCTTTGATGAGGTGAGTTGGCCAAAAAACCCGTATCTTAACATTTTAATTTTTATAGATTACACAATATTGCATAAATTGTCAATTATTTGACACAGTTTACTAATCTGTAGTTTTTCACTAACTTTTTTTGGTTCATTGTAATGAAACACAAATTGAACAAATACATATGTATACATACATGTGCAAATTTATTGTATTTAAAAAAAAAATTAGACATTTTTTAATAATACACTAATTAAACACATTCTCTAAATGGTTATTGATATACTAATATACTTACCTTTTCAAAGTATTAAATTTCAATAAAATGAAATGCTTCCTTTCCCACCCTTTTACATAATATGTTAAAATTAATATGTGAAATGAAACAAAAGCAATCCAACTTCAAATGCCTATATCCAATTTTATATAGTTCTGGTTTTTTTGAAAACCTCTTAATATCTAGCACAAACCTAACCAAAATATCAATAAATGAACGTTATAGTTGCCACCAGCCATTTTATCAGTGAACCTACCTACACCTACCTACCTACACACACAATGAGAAAAAAACCTAATAGTCTATTTATGTACATCTATCTACATATTTGCATATGTAATTGACTAAATTTGTTACATACAAATAGTTGAAAACCCACCGTATTCACACGCCCTTACCACAATGAAACCACAAACCAGCAGAAACACATTTCCGTTGCATTAGTAACACTGTTTTTTATACAAATAATATGTGCATTTTATTTCTTTTCTTGTGCGGTTTAGAAACCTTTCTGACTCCTTCAAAACTTCCGATTTTTTCTGTTTTATTTTTAGTTTTTATCTCTTTTTTTAGTTTTGGTACATTTTAAAAGTTAACTTTGGTTTTATTTAATTAGTTATACTTACTTTTACGTCTCATTTAGATTTTTCTTTTCTTGATAAACTGTAAATATGCACTATTTAATTGTATTAGAAAAAATTATTTTACATATTTATATACATGTATATATAGCAATTTGCTACAGTAAGTTTTGTATGTTTATCTAAAAACTTTTTGGTTTCTCAAAATATTTTTTCTGGCAGTTGTTATCTTTTATTGGCTATCGTTATTATTTAACGTTTGTAATAAAAATAATAATTTTTGTATATTTTAAATGTACAAAGTATAATTTTTAAATTGTATTTCGATTTTATAATCTGTTGATTAATTTTGGCCTTAATTCGTATTTTTTCATTGATTAGTTAAATAATTGAAAAGGATTTAATTTAGAAATGTGCGGCCTATAAGTTTATGTTTATTCCTAGTGTAACGAAACAAATGATTGAATAATTTTTGGTTAAATAATTAGTAATTGTAAAAAGTTGTAACCTTTAGTAGTGCTAATTTTGGTAATTTTCGCTTACAATTTTATTTGAGGCCAATGGTACAATGGATTATTTAAACTAAACTTTTGTAAAAATACGGAATTAAATAATTTTATTAAACATATTATAGCTTAGATATTTCAAGTAGATTTGGTTTCATAAACAAATTTCTTCACTTATCTACCATACGTATACATAGTAAATAACTTACATACACATAATTGACACTTGCTTTTTTCACGAAAACTTTAAAGAAAAATAAACTACGTTCAATATTTTCTAATAAGTGCACTTACATATGTGTAAATTTTAACAAACAAATGCATTGAAAACCATGATTTCGATATATGCAAACACAGCACCTTGAAGAACTACCCTTTGAAAGTGCACTGAACATGATTTTTTTTAGTATATCTGCAACTTGTACTTCTACACAATATTTGTCTTTATAAATTTATCACGTCCAGTACCTGCTTAAATTTATTTTGATTATCCCATCAGCTGTGCCACATATTTCACGCATATTTCTCAGCTGTTCACAAATTATTACTTTAAGTGATTTAA